GGGGTCCCAAAACGGATATGTCCACTCAAAACTCAAACTAAAAAATTTTGAGGAAACCAATACTTTCTCCATATACAGTACTATGTATTGGAGAGAAAGTAAATATTAAAAACTAACGATTAATTTTTGGTATTGTTGATAAAGAGTTGAATTTGATCCAAAGTTATTTAAGCAATAGAAAGCAAATGGTTAGTTGTAATAATAATGATTCTGATTTCTTACAAGTTACAGCCGGAGTGCCGCAAGGCTCTGTCCTAGGCCCTTTTTTATTTTTAGTTTTTATTCATGACTACAGTTAATATTTCTGTGATGTCTGTTTTGTATGCGGATGACACCACCCTGATACATTCTGATGTAGATTTTTCACTGTTCAACACAGACTACAAATAGCTATGGAGGAATCAAAATCATGGTTTTTAGCAAACAAATTAAATGTTAATGAAATTAAAACAGAACACATTGTATTTACTTTAAGTAGTCAGCTAAATCTAGTATTAGATGATAATTATTTATTAAAACCTGTAAAACTTCTTGGTATTTATTTAGACAGTAAGCTGTGTTGGGAGGAACATGTAAATAATCTATGTAAAAAATTGTCATGTGTCACTTGTTTGTTAAGAAAGTTAAGGTCTTGTGTGTGCTCAGAAGTAATTATTATGATATATTATGGTCTTTTTCACACCCATCTCAACTATGGTGTCAGATTATGGGGAAATTCAGCTGCTGCCAAAACCACCTTTGTTTGGCAAAAAAAGGCTATAAGAGCAATGTTTGGTTTAGATGCAGAGGCCTCATGCCGTAACCTTTTCCCTAATCTTGGTATACTTACTCTCCCTAGTTTGTTTATCTTTCACAATCTTTGTTTTGTCAAGAAGAATATTGAAAAGTTTAATACAAACTCATCTGTCCATTCCTATAACACTAGGCAAAGAGACCACATAGCTAGGCCTAGTATTAGATTGCAAAATTATTTCAATAGTCATAGTTACCATAAGATTTTATTTTACAACAAATTGCCTTTAGATATAAAAATGTTACCATTTAAGAAATTTTGTACCACTGTTTGTAAGTTGCTTAAAGATAAGGCATTTTATTCAACTGAGGAATTTTTAAATCATGTATTTTAATGTTGTTTAACTTTGACTTTCTATACAAAAATTATATGTTGACGAAGCCTATTGTAACTGTGTTATCTAATGGCAAATAAATTCTTGATTCTTGAAATTCTTGATTCCTGAAATTCTTGATTCTTGATTCTTGACGTTTACATATTGTTCATCAGAGTGTATCTTATAAAGGATTATGTGATCTAGTTTAAAAGGAATATGACCTTTCTGTCATGCTTGGAGCTGCTTAAATAGTATTATCTCTTTATACCATATTTTACAGCCAAAATGTCGTGTTATTTTCATTAATGTTACCAACCCAGTGCGCCAAAGTCCGTAATATAGGCAGGTGCAAATAATTTGTCAAGATGGGTACCATTTTAGGCAAGGTTTCTATGTTTGGATTTTATTAGACACGATAAGAGCAGATATTTCTACATAAATATTTTATATGTGTAGAATGATATGATAAAATGTAGGCAAAAGTGGTGAAAAAGGCAAACACCAACTCGTACAATAGATATAAGATAGTTCAATAAGAAATAATTTAAGAATTGCTGTAATAAAAGGATTTTCCACTGATTTCATAGTGGAACATTATATTGCAAACCATGACATGATAAAGAGGAAAATCTATATAAATAAAATTAGAGTTTTGTCTGTACTTTGCTCAGAATTATATACTTTTAGGTTATTTTTACGTTTTATACATTAAAGAAGCAGAAACGAGTCTTATCTCTATTTCTGTCTGTCTGTCTGTCTTTCCCTTTGTCTGTAACACTCAAGATGGCATTTTACGCAATCTTCTCCGTGAAAACCAGAGTACCTATCAAGATCCAAGTCATTTTAATGTATTCACTGGATTGGCGAGAGTGTCTTTAGTGATTTAAATATAGCCTCACTACTTTGTAAATAAAATTACGGACGTTCAAAAATGCGGTTTTGTGCGATTTTTGTCAAATTTTCGTTCAATTTTTATCACATAATCGTCTATGAAATAACGAACAGCTGTTCGGATCAAGATAATATTTCTAGCTGTCAATGATATGTTTACAAATGTTGTTTACAAATACCGCAACCATTTCGAATCACGTTTTGAAAGCAAATCCCAACCAAGTGAGATTAAAAACGTTTTTCTTACATAACGGATTTAATTAATCGCAAGTGCAATAATATAGTCTAATAGTGTAACCGTAAATGAAATTAAATAACTAGACATCGTCCAAATCGGAACCAGAAATTCTTTGAGAATAAAATGTTTCTTGAGTTTTGACAACCAGAAAGAAGACCTTGAATCAGTGTTGTATAGGGCTGGACACTGAAATGATCGTCGCCAATAGCTTACAAAAAAGGTTTCCACTCATTGACGGTGCTTCAATGGCGGTTGTGTAAAGTGTAAAGTAAAAAATCACAACTGCAGTGGATGATTGTAACAGAGGTTTAACAGAGGAAGTGCTAAACTCGCTTTTCCAATGTGTCACTTTCTGTTTCTACTCACCGTGTGATGCAATCGCTGGACCATACAGCCAATAGGCCCATAGCTCATATCTTGGGTACGTAGGCCTACATATTTATTCATAACAACTTTTTTGACGATGATCCTTGATACCGGTACTTTTCCATAGAATACATGGCCTACCTACTTAAGAAATATAATTACAAATGACCAAAAACCCAACATTGTGTGATTTTCGTCACATTTCCTTCTAATGTTAAAAGATATACTAATCATTGTTTAGAGAATGCGTAATCTATTAAATAACAAAAAGTTGTTTGGGTAAGGTTGTTTTTTTTTCAAACTGACACCGATAAGTTTACGCTATAACTTTTTACGAGAAAATCCAAAAGCAAGAGATCAATAACCTCGGGACTATATATTAATGTATTTAATTGGTCGGATGTACTATAGTTCTTAGGTAGGTTCTTACGTAGGTACTGGTTCTTTTCCTTTCTAGAACCGTTGGTAGCTGCTAGAATCATTTTTACGTAGGTACCAACACATCACTGTAGTTTACAAATTAGTTATCGTTGGTGTTGCACCTTATTTATTAGAGCCGTCCGTATTCAATTTAAGTGATGTCTTAATTAACTCTGTATAAGTTTTGCTTTTTCTGTCTGGATTCCAAATCTTAGCTTACCCGGTATGCTAAGAAAATGGTAACCTATTTGAGTAGGCTAAAACATTTGTTGGGCAAACCATCATGAATTGTTTACGCCTTTATATTGTTTATGTATCAATAGTTCGTGGCCTTTTTTGGATTGTTGTGTGTATGTCTGTTGGTAACGCATTAATGTCCTTATTTCTCAGTGTTTCACGGAATGGACAAGAGCACCTTTGATACTGAAAATGTCAACCGGAAAAAAGTGTTAAATGGTGAGGTTGAGGTAGTACTTTAAATACGTTTAAGTTAACCGATGTGGAAAGTAACTTTCAATTATAGGCCTACTTTAGGGCTACGCTTCATGGATCTATAAAACATTTTTTAGTTTAATCATTGGACATATGGACCATAACGATCCGGGTGACATTTAATTGCGAAGCATTTATTTTAGCTTGAACTGTCAGATACTGTATTTGCGAAGGTTTATATATAATAGTTTTGCCAGCATATCTGCAAATATGCAAACTAACTGCTGTTCTTAATCTTAATATAAGAAGGTTTCAACTGACTACTATAAGATCCCCGTGCGTAGAACGGGCACACAGCTAGTCAATTTTAAAATCACAAAATAACATTGCAAATACTTATTTGGTACAATTCAGTAACTCCCAATAAATATGTGTTGTTTGAAATACAATTTAAAAATGTACAGCTGTTTTATTAAAAAGTATTATTCACATGGCCAAAATGTAAACAACTCTGTGGAGGGATCTTTAAAGGCTTCTGGGGCAGAGTCCTAAGGGATTTTGCTTAGTTTTTCTTTTGATAACTCATCTACAGACCAAGACCTTTCTTTGGACACCTCTACCAAGTTTCTATGCCCAGCCGTTCTCTCAAATTAGTGGGGACAAAGTTTCCAATTAAATATTTAGATTCCCCCATGTTAATCTTATGGGAGAAACTCCAACTTTGATGGCCTGTGGGGCAAAGCCCGAGTATTTTTATCACAGGAATTGGTGAAAGGGGCGTCTACACAAAAAATACTTTATTTTGACACGTCGTTTGTAAAAATCCGTCCATTATTAACGGAGGAGTAGTGTTTCGTAGAAATCGCCTTCATGTATTATATATAAGGACTAGTGCACCTGTTGCTCGAATTGGAGCAATTGCAAACCATTACAGGCGTTATTTCAAAACGAATAACAGTCATAATTTACGATGAATTAAAAGATTCAACTCAAAGATAATGTAATCAATCACTTCACTCTAGTTATCAAAACTGAAAACGAACTCACTCTGATAGCTAAACGCTCTTGTGAGTATCATGTGTTTACCATAAACAGCTGTAATTAACTCAAATAATTCGTCTGTTTAAGTAAACTTTTATTTTCTTCATAAGAAATACATTGGGATTTTGATGGCCTGAGAAGCAAAGCCCGAGGACTTTTATTACAGGAATTGGTGAAAGGGGGCTTCTACACTAAAAATACTTAATTTTGACACATCGTTTGTAAAAATCCTTCCATTATTATTAACGGAGGAATAGTGTTTCGTAGAAATCGTCTTCACGTATTATATATAAGGATGGAAGTTGTATGTACACTGCTAAGCACTTCAATTTACCTACATCTTAAAGTAGCAAACATAGATAAGATAACGTTTTTAATTAAACTACAATCAGAAGTTATGCATGATTTATTTCTTCATCATAAATACTGGCCACAATTATTTTACTGTAGGTGTAAGGTAGAATAAAGAAAATGAGATTTTCAAAACAAATTTTATTCCAACAATATTACTCTGGTTCAAGTACTTTCCTATTTGGATACGATCTTAAAATAAATACGGTAATCAAAGATTTGGGAAATCACAGATAAAATTAAAAACACAAGAAAATATACAAATTTACTTACATCTATAATTTATAACAAAGTAAAACAGGTAAAACTATCAGTTTAATTTGATAATTTGATACTGAATGTTTTGAAACAGTTATGTTGAAGAAACATTAAGAATATTAAAAATGTTATCCAATTCCACACTGTATGGATAGGTAAGAAAAGGAATGATTAAAAATTGGAAAATGTTATAAAGGTCTTAGTAACTTAAATACTGTATTGCAATTAATACTGAACTCACTATTTAACATTAAAAGAACAGATATATTTTAATTTTTACAAATCTATGGTCTTCTTCTTATTGAGCAATGGATATAAATTGAATTACAAAGGTTTTTTCAAATGAACTCTATCCCCTCATATTTTAGGTCAGCAACTTTCGTCTCTGGAAGAAGGATTTTTCCATCTATGTGGAAAACAGTCACGTAAGATGCACTAAAACACAAAATTTCAATAAACGTTAGTTGGGTCTGTTTTTGAAAGCACTCACTAGAGGCTAACATACAACAAACATATAGATTAAGTCAGGGGTCTCCAACCTTTTTTACTCAAGGGCAGCATCATCATTTTTTTAGGAAAAATGGTTCACACCGTTGACATTTCAGTGCATTAATGTAGCCTACTCCAAATAACCCTCAACGAGGTAGTTTCCTATTTAAGAGATCAGTAGCAGGGGTGTCTTTGTGCCGGAACACCCCGGAATGCCGTTCCTGCACTGGTTTTGGACGGAAGTGGAAAATTAATAAAAACACTCATAACAAATATAATTATATAACTTCTTGATCAGCATCGTACGTGTTATTAAATTACCTGAAAGCACAAAAAATATGTCAAATAACATTTTTAATAATGTATTTAAACTTATACTGTTTACTCACAAGACGGTAAATACATATAGAAGATGGTAAGTGGTGATTGATTTTAATTGGACACTACAATCATCATCAAACCCAGGGTCGCGCTACTCTATCTCTAAGCTGATTCTTTGTCTTACTCTCTCTCGCTCAGTCAGCTGACTTGGCCGCGCATAGTAGCGCCTTCGCTACCGAGCGGCCGTCATGGGAACTATCCGAAATTCAAATATTCCCAGACAGAATTTTTAACAAAGGCATTGCGCTTCTTAAAGGATTATATTCGTTGTCATAACTCAGCTTTGAGCATTTCATTTGCCTCCATTGAGCATAGATGACCTAGAAAATACGCTTTGTATTATATTTCTGGAATTACCTTTAGTTAGAATAGAATAGAATCCATTTATTGTCATTTGTCAATTTACATTGCTATAGACAACGTCAAAGAAATACATTAAAGTGTAGTATAAAAGGAGATGAGTACAATGTACTTGTCAGGATAACAGATAAAACATCACAATTAACAATTAGCAACAAATCAATATAAACTATGAAAATTAACAATAAATAAATTACAACTGTTCACCAAAGCATCACTGGATCAAAGCTCAATAATATTAAGTTAAAATCTATATGCTAAAAACTCATCAAGAGAATAAAACGCTTTATTTATAAACCAGCTTGACAGTTTTGATTTGAATGGTTGGATTTCAAGGTTTCTGATCTCTGGTGGCAATTTATTGAAGCACTTGATTTGTAGGTATTTGTGGCTGATTATTGTTTTCCGCAATCTAAAAGAGGGTGGGACAATATCTTGTGCTCTTTTAGTGTTATAATTATGAACTTTCTCAAAACATACATAATCACTCTGGTTTTCCTTTACATATACAAGATTTTGAAATATGAAAATGCAAGGGACAGTCATTATATTGTGATCAATAAAGCATTGCTTACAGTCATCTTGATAAGGTAGATTGGCTAAAATCCTTACTGCTTTTCTTTGCCAAGCAAAAACATGGATAGCACCTCTACTATTTCCCCAGAGCATTGTGGCATACAGCAAATGGGAATGAAAATCACTAAAATAAGTATTTAATAACATATTTCTACCAACACATTGTTGTAGTTTTTAACTATATCCATTTATATTGGTTACATGATGGAATGGCCTTTGGATTGTCTGAATAATTAATAGAGGTTTAAATTACCTGGTTACTGTAAAAACGATTCTTGGTAGTTTACAACAACTACAGCTGTTTTGTGCAGTAAAAATGGAGCATATCTTCATATTCGAATGTCTTACTAATGATCCCACATTCAAACCTGAAGATTTACTTAATTTTTGACAGCACGAAACAGCTGTGGTAGTTGTAAAATACCAAGGAACATTTTGACAGTAACCAGGTAATTCAAACCTATATTCGTTTGTTTATTCTGGTGCCAAACGCTGATTATTCTGACTTTTTCTATTCAGACAAGAGCTAAACACTTATTTGATATTTTAGATTTATTACCTCTTCCCCCTATCCTCCTCAGACTTCAGTGCCACAATGATCGTGTCATCTGTACCAGGAAGGAACTTGAAGCTGGAGAAACCATGCGTCGGGATGATTTCTCCGATGTAAGTAACCTGACAAAATGAAAAAATCACAACTAATTAACTATGGAATTCTACATATTGTAGGCCTATAATCCAGATTCTCAATTACCCATACAACTTTGGAATTGGACCCCCAATTGATTCAAAGTGATGAGGTTTTGTGATTGGTGATCCAGAAGATTTAAGTCTGAATATGAGTTCTAAAGTATAAAACACAGCTTAAGCATTCAAACAATCTGGTCTCCAAAAGTTAATCGATTTGAAAAACAATTTTAAACAGTCATTTATCATTTTCAGATAATATAACATCGGTGAGCTATTTATTAGACCTGCACTCTGGTGAAATGCTGATCTGTGCTGAGTAGAATGTTGGTGCTCATTCTCTCATCCGCCTCGTCGTTGAAACGCTCTTTACTGAGTCTTCGAGGCAAGAAGAACCACCGTTGGTGCAGATCACTCCACACCCCAGACTCGTGGATGATGTAACCTGAGACAAGGAAAGTTTTCTAAACAATCTTCTATATAGATAAAATTATAGTTTTGTCTGTGCATTGCATAGAATAATGAAGTTTTTAGTTATTTTACGTTACATCATAGCCAAACAAAGCTGAAACGAGTCTTATCTCAATTTCTGTCTGTGAAGCCGAAATGCCAATTTACGCAGCCTACTCCAAGAAAACTAGAGTGGCATTCAAGATTCAAGTTATTTCCTGTATTTACCGGATTAGTGAGAATGTCTTTTTGGCTATTAAAACATGGCCCAACTACTTTTGTAAATGAAATATAAAATAGTCTATATGCAGTTTTTTTTGTGAATTTGTCACATTTTCTCATAATGTTTACATACGTAATTTATCAAATAGGCTACCAATCAACTGTTTAGAGAATAGGCTTACGTCAACTATAAACTAACGAACAGTTGTTTGGATGAAGCTACTTTTTTTTAAAACTGTTAACGATATGTTTACATTATAAATTGTTTATAAATAGTAGTCAGATTTTGGTTAAACAGGGTACAGTTAAAAGGAGTTCTACATGGAAACAGTTCTGCCCTTGAATATAACTTCGAAGAATCCAATAGGCATTGTGTCTGATGGCCCTGTAGGTTGTTAACACATTCACTACCCGGTGCCAAAGAGCTCTCAACAGAGGAGTGTAACGGCTGGTAGAAAATGTGTAAACATGTTTTTAAATTACTTTGCGTTTTTAAAAAGCTTAACTTATATCATTACCTGGGAACTCAACGCCCATGACACGACGCAGTGTCTTGTACTGTTCCTCCCAGTTGATGTGGGATACTTGGCCGGAGATTGTGACGGTCTTGATCCACATAGGATTGTTGTTGACGAGTTCACCTCCACTGGTCGTCCACTCCTTGCCCATACTGCCCACGTACAGGCGGTGATCCTTCACTGTTGCCCACTCGCTTTTGAAGCCTACAATCATATGTACTTTCACCATAAGAAAAGTATCATCTCTCAACAGATATAGGCCTACTTTAATACTTCAAATCATTCTCATTGAAATGGCGACCACACAAAGTAGGTATTTTAAGCCAAAAGTGTGAATGGAGATGAGTGTAAAATGAGTGGTGCGGTCGTGCAGTCTTGTTAGAGACTAAGGCCGACATGTTCCTTAGACACAAATGTTAATTAATAAATAGCCCATACAGCTAATGACAACTAAGGAACCTAAAGTTTATAGTGGAATCCGAACCACATTTTTGCCTTGGTATTAACAAATTGGTCTAATTATCAGGATGGTACTGCGGATAGTCGTGGTACTCACTAGTGTGGACGTTAATCCACACCAGGGAGTATCGCATCCACAGTGCATGCCTATATATATCCACAATTCGTGACCTCCTAGTAGCTGGATTACAGGACGTCGCCACCAGTTTTGTGTTTAAGTGTTTTGTAAAACCATGACAATGTTTCTTTTAAAAATCAACATGTTCGCAAGAACGAAGTGAAGATGACAACGTCCGCCTGAAGATGATCCCGTGAGGATTGAAACTGGTCGCCTTTCAAGGCCACAAGAATCACTTGACAGCAGTAATTTCACCAGTAGGCCTACACGTAATTTTATTAACGATCAAAAGTAAACACAATGAGCCTTATCTTTACTACACTGCTGATGTGTGTGCAACTTGTAAAATGCCTATGAAGTTTGGGCCCTGACAAAAAAATCTCAAAAAAAGCTAATAACATTTGAGAACAAAATACTACGGAGAATATACGGACCTGTAAAAGAGGGGGATGCATGGAGAATCAGAAAAAATAGGGAGCTGAGAGAGTTATATAAAGAGCCAGATATTGTAGCTTTAGCAAGAAGCAGGAGACTCAGATGGCTGGGACACATCAAAAGAAGAAGTGAAGAGAAAGAAGTAAAGAAAATCTGGACAGGAAGACCAAGTGGAACAAGCCCCTTGGGAAGACCAAGAATGCGCTGGAACGACCAAGTTAGGGTGATTTGGTGAAGATAGGAGGAGATTTGGGGATGGCGCACAACAGAGAAGAATGGAGGCGGCTAGTTGGAGAGGCTAAAACCCTTCTAGGGTTCGAATGGCCACAGGAGTAAGAGTAAGAGTAAGTAGGCTACATTTAGATATCCAAATTCATTTTCAGCAAATGTTGAAAAACGTATGCCTACATAAGCCATTTATTTATTAAATAAAGTGACAAAAAAAATACTTCTAAGAATGTTCTCTAAGTAGTAATAAATTTGCACTCACCTTTAGTGGTCAAACCATTTCCATCCATCAGAAGTACCCAAGGAATTGCCATATTAGTATCCAGGTTTATTTCATAAATTAATCCAGTACGATCATCAAACGAAATTAGCTTTCCATTAAAAACTAGTAGCTCCGATAATTCCATTCCTCTTCCACTGTGTCCAAAAGTTGACTTAAAAGTGACAGGGTCTGTCCTATCCCAAATGATAGCGACAGAATGAGTATTGGGATGCCAAATCAAATATCCTGTTTTTAAATAGCTCACCCAAGTGTTTGATTCAAGTTTGCTTTTGGAATTTGTATCTAAATCGCTAATAATACCAATTCGATATTTCAGACCACTAGGTGTGCTGACTGGAGGTGTTAAGGGGTATGTTGCATTGTAATATTCATCGCCTACAGCTAGATGTGTGATTTTCTCATATCTTTCTAATGGTGGGGCAATGTAACGTTGTCTATAAAGGTCACTATATGATACAAACTTTGGGGACCTTCTGGATGTTGTATATAATATAAACAAAATAATTAAACCTAATAAAGCTATGACAGTAACAAAGGTAGTTTGTATCCTTAAGGTACTATTCCCAACCCTGTAAGTTGGGGGTGTCCGTAAAGCTTGCCTCCAGTCTCTTAATGACTTCATTTCCACGTCCAAATCACTGTATTTAACAGAAGGCATGTGTTTCTAGAAATTTAATTAGCTTGTTTGATATACCTAAACAATTCTTTTGACGTTTCATGTTGAATCATAGCAAGAGTGTTGTTTTTGTTAATGTAGCTAACCAAACATAACCTCACAAAAGAGATTCTATTAGATTGGATTTCACATAACTGCAAAACACAATTATATTTAACATTTAACTGATCTAATTTTCAGTTTAACACTTTTTTTATTTATCACACATTCTTCCGATCGACAGAGAAAATAAAAATTGAACACTAAACTTTGTTTCTATGTTTGACGTGTAGGTTGTCTGCTTACTGCTTGCTTGTCACTACAATCCAAAATCCAATCACAATCCAATCCTGTTTAGCTTCGCGTCAGATCAGATGGTATTGGTATGGTGGCTCTGCAGTGCTGGTTGGTATTGCTGTTGCTGGCCGCTTTTGAGTTGAGGGCTGACGATGACGTTGGCGTGTCTGATAGAGTAAAGAGAAAAATATTTCTCCTAAGAAAAAACCTCTCATTGGAAGTTTGGAAGTACTATAAATGGTACTATATCTGACTGATCCTTTAATATATGTTTTACACCATGTATATAAAAGCTTTGACTATTGATACAACAACGGTAGTCTTCTGTATCCAATAGTCAGTGATAAAAGATACCAAGATCCATAGTTTTTAACCCATGATTACTTCACTTGATAATCATATTAAATAGATGTATATTTATCTATTTGATTCATTTGGATTTTATTCAATCCAAATGACAAACCTTTCGAAAGATAAAACCAAATACAAAAGGTGGCTAGACCAACAGGTCCAGTAAATACCACGTACTTAACTTGTTACTTTCAGCACATTAGCATGAACACAACTGAAAACTGTACGAAAATAATAAGAAAAGATTCATTTAGTAATTTACGTAGGAAGGTATGGGGGTTTAGGGAGCAGGAGAATCTTTCGCGCCATTCTGGTCAAACCTCGCATGCGGGGTTGGTCCGGCAGATTAACCACACCTAAACTCCAACTCTCACTTGTTAGCTGCAGAGAGCTACCTTATGCCAACGGATGTTGGTCCACCTACAGAACCAAGTGAGGTGGGCCTAGACAAAGGTGTAATGCGATCCGTGCTGAGAGTCTCGTGGCACTGGGGGCCTAATATTCCAGTGTCTTAACGGAGCCTTCTTTGAACCAGGGGTAACCCAGTCGTATTACCCTTACCTCTCTAATCGGGTCACTGTGGTGGTGGACCACCCGGTATTCGTGGAAACAACGTAGGTGATCTGACCCCAATGGAGGATGAAAGTTAACTGAAATCTGAAGATTACGACAAGCTCACGGACACCGGAAAGGAACGAAAAAATGACTTTCCAGGGGTGAATTTCGAAGACGGAGGATAGCGGATGTTTTAGCTAAAGGCGAAAAGGTGCTATCCTGAAATGAGAGGAGGCTAGCGTGGTCTGCCAAGCACCCAAACCCTGCTCCGTTCGAGGCCAGTTCCTCCGGGAACCAGGATGCTGGAAAAAAGCAGGGCGAGGGTTGCTCCCCCAAAGCAGACTCTAATAAGGCCTCCAGAAAGGTGGAAGAAAGGTGGAAAGAGGGGGCGAGAGAACCTGACACATGAAGATGTCTGGGGCGAGAAAAAGAAGACGAGGACGAGAGAGTTAGAGGGTGTTTCACAGAGAACACCGGCCCCCACCTATTTGGAGACCCTGTCTTTGGAGAAGATGGTCATTGCCAGATCTGAACATCCGGACAGGAAACAGGTGTAGGCTGAAGTCAACAAAATTAAGGGGAAGCTGTCAAGGTTCGTGGCGAAGACATAAGGATAAGCAGCTGTCATCTTGAAGGCGGAGCCTTGGTGGTTGGCTGTGCTAACGCAGTCACAATGGATTGGCTCGTCAAGCAAGTTCAGGAGCTGAGTCCCTTTGGGGAAATCTTTCTACAGCTTGCCCCAGCCAGAGACCTTGTGAAATCTGTGAAGGTATCAGCATTTGTTCCCACCTCAACGGTGGCAAAAACCAAGAAGGGCGTGATCGAGGGCCTCAAGCAGAATGGCCTTGACACTGACCATGGGTCGGGAGAAACTCAAACCCTGACACACATTTCCTGGCCATGATAATAGCAACATACAGTCAAAGAGAATGCTGCAGACACCTACCGGTGTGATAGCAGCAAATGCCTTTGGGCTGAATATGAAGACCCTGCGGGAGGTGGTTGGCTTCATCAGCGGCCACTGGGTATTCCGCGGACATTGTACACAAGATGGGAATTAAAGTTAAAAGCTTCTTATGTGTAGGAAATGGGGTGAGGAGGATGAGACAGCCTTCCACGTGATATTTTTGTGCCCAGCCCTACAAGGTCTGCATGTTGGATCCCTTGGCCTATTGACGGAAGATCAACGGGATGAACAGGTTACCATAGTCAAAAGGTTCTCATGGTTCATTAAGGACCTGGGATCTGACGGAGAATGAGGACCTGTTAATGAGGGTGCACATTAAGCTGTTCCAGCTGCGATGCAATCCCATGGTCACTTGTAAGCCTGGCCCTCTGATAAAAAACTATCCTTTTTGATTATTAAAAGAGAACGATTTTCAACATCTCTCAATCCGGTTACATTTGAGCGCACTCTTGTTTTTCTTCTTTCGGCGGACAAATTTTTAATTTGTGCGCTTTACTCTTCTGTTACAACATCTGAAGACAAATATTTGCTCAAAAATATTACTGTAATAAAATACATTTTTTGTTGAGAAGTCTACTAACCATATTCAACGGTCACATGAACATGGTGAAAACATGTACATTAATAAACATGAACATTAATGTGTTGAAACAAACCCGTTTGTCGGAAGATTTTAAAAACTTGTTAAAATCACTGAATCTTGAATGTACTGTCTGGGTGCCGACTCGTGAGAACTCTTGTCTGGACAATGTTGCCACAGACCTTCCTCGTGAAGATTTTAAAGTAGGGGTGGTGAAACATGCCATAGGTGACCATGATGGCATTCAGTTTAGTCTCGGTATCCCTCTGTCCAAGAATAAAGATCCCTATATTGCTAGGACTTATCGACCGATTACTCTTGATAAAACATATCACTCTATAGTTACTCTCAACTCAGTTGATTGGAATATTCTACTTGCGGGTAATGCTAATGTTAATTTTAGTAATTTTTTAAGAACATCGATTTTGCTCTTTCAAGAATCTTTTCCTAAAAAAAGTGTCTAAACCGAAGAATACAAAGCTCGGAATTTCAATATGTAAACATATGTCATGCTATACACCATTTTAAAGGAATTTGATAGAAAAACATTTTGGCGAAAACAGAAATTCATTATCTTTTTCCGTTTCAAAATGGAGGCAGTCTTTTTTTGAAAAAAATTAATATTTTTGAATACTCTGTGTTTCCTATACCAATGCACTTGGCCCTTCTCGCACGATTTTTATTTCAGCTGCAGTTTTTTAATACGGACAAAATGAGAGTTTAAAAATTAGAAATTAAAAAAAAATTATTGTAGGCCTAAAACTAAAAAAAAATATATAGTTAATTTTTTAATTAAACTGTCATAACCTAACCTAACTAACCAAACTTGCTGATAATGGCAAAATTGAATGAAGCGTAGAAAAAAATAGAAAATAGAAAAAATAATTCTGTTCATAAAATAAAACTATAATGCCTCAAATTAAAATTTATATTTTTTAATTATAAAATTAAACTGTGATAATCTAACCAAACACACCCGATGGGTTTCGAACCTGGTACCTTAAGTTTCGAAGCCCGGTACGCTATCCACTAGACCATCGAGGTCGATGGCTTCTTTCCGTTTCATTGCGCTAATGGTGTTCCCTCAGCCAATAGAATGCTCTCATTTTGTTCTTATTAAAATAACTGCAGCTGAAATAAAAATTGTGCGCCCTCCTCCGGTTGAATTTTTTTATTTGTTATGGAATTAGCTTTACTCTGATATGCTACAAGTAAAAGTTTTTTGAAACGACAAAAATTTCAAAAAAAAAATTATTTTTTAAATTATAAATGCACATTGTTCAATATTTTTTTGGAATTTTTGTCGTTTCAAAAATTTTTTACTTGTAGGAAATCAGAGTAAAGCTAATATATCATAACAAGAAGTAGGAAAATTCAACCAAAGAAGGGCTAAGTCTAGTGCATTGGCATAGGAAACGCAGAGTATTAAAAAGTATTGATTTTTTTTAAAAACTGCTGCCATTTTAAAATGGTAAAAGATAATTAATATCTGTTTTCACCAAAATGTTTTTCTATTAAATACCGTTAAAATGGTGTATAATATAACGTTTACATTTGAAAATTCCTAGATTCAAACTGTGACCCTCAGTTTTTGGCACACCCTGTATCGGAAAAGGTTAAAAATATACGTTATTCCTTGGGATCAATTTAGTGGAAAATAATTTTTACCATGTCACGCATACTCTGTACAAAAATCAAAAATTAGTTTTAACGGCCGATAAAGTGACAATATTTTCGGATCAATTCACATTATCTTATCTTGGCAGAGTGATTCAATATAGTACCTTATCTTTGGGAGCTTAATCTAGAGGGCATGCTAGTTACTTCCATATATGGTCTGGTCACGTTTGTTCTCATTGGTGGAAATTCCTTGTTGGGTGTGTAAGCTCGTGATCAGTGTTGCCACTTTTAGGGTAATTACCCTTTTTTAGGGTAATTTACTGGTTTTAGGGTAAAGTTTAGGGTAATGGTAGATTTAGGGTAATTTTAGGGTAAAACTAAAAGTTAGCATTACAATGGAAATTTTACTAAAAATATGAAAAAAACTTCAAAATTTGGTAAAAAACGTTCATTACATACTATGGCCAAGTCATCATATTCGATTCAACCGGTTTAAATCTATTGCTATGATGGATTTTTCATAATAAGTAGTTATCCTAAATCCTAATCGATCTTATCAATAGTTGTGAATTATCTGTTTTAGAATGTATTCGATTCTATAACACAGGCCTAATAAAATATGAAATATTATTCATCACTGGGTTTGATATTTAATTATGTGATTAAATTGAATTAAACTGGATTATTTTACAAATTGTGTCAAGAATACTACTATGTATCTATTAAAGCTTTTGTGATACCGTACTGTACTTTAAAGATATGATTGTCCAAAAGACAGTAGTAATGGGTCGATACAGTAAAAAAATACGATAGTTCTTGATTCGATATTTTTTGTATATACGATAGAGCTGAATATCAACATTTTGTTCTTCTTTCGGGATGTTTTTTAGAATCGAGTGTAATTTTACATAAATTGATTGATATTGGAACTTCATTTAGTATAATTAACCACCTTATGTAAGATTTATATGATTTTAACAGTGTTTAATAGCATT